GATGGAGCTAAATGAGCGGTTCCCATCACCACCACTTTAGCCGTGTCCCACGTCTCGTCACGCCCAGACAGTCCAAAAAAGGGAAATGAGGTGGAGCTGAGGGTGGGGCTTAGAAAGCCTAACCCTAACTAGGTGTTTGTGTCAAGAGAAGCACGACATGCTCACCGCGTTTATTTGAGCGTAGTCAAATATCATCTAGTTTACTCCTAGGCATGGACTTAGCTTTGACTTTAGAAGTGTGTGTGTGTGTGTGGGGGGGGGGGGGGGGGGGGGGCACATTACTTGTAAGTTGCTTTGGACAAAAGCGTCTGCTAAATACACACACATAAACATAATCGGCAAGGTGGACCGGGAAAAGGGGGAGATCTTTACAGCAAGTATACAAAAATATGTAATATGTAATGAGGAAAAGGTTTTAACACAAGCAGTTATTTTCCGCTTGGTCCTAGTTAGGGATGGGTACCTTTGACATTTGAATCGATTCGGTACTAATTCCCGGTACCTAGGAATCGATACCGGTACTTAACAGTACCAATTTTCGATACTTTTGAGTGTTCAATATTTTAATTCTCTTTTATAATTAAATGCATATTTGTCTCAATATATAACCATATTTGATAAATATCATGATAAATAACATACAACTGTTTGTATTTTAACATCATCCTTGTAGTTTTATAAGCTGATAATTAAACTGAAGCAAACATCTTTACTGTGAACTACATTTACTGTGTATCTTCATTCCTTTTGCCATCTTTTTTCATTTGATTTTTCCTACTGGGAAGTTAAAATTTCCAAGGAGAAAGCGAACGCACCATTAGCTGATAACAATGGTGGCAATGGAAGCTAACATATCAAGCTAACGTTATCTTAACAGTTTATTTAGCTGCTGGAGCAGATTAAAACGATGATGCCTCACACTTAGATCGTTGTCGCTGGTTTCATCTTCACCCGTCACATTTAGTAAAGTGAAGCCAAACTTTAGAGTGCGTTCATGTTCTTCTAGTCGGAAATTCGGAGTTCCGAGGAGAAAACGAACGCACCATTAGCAGAATGGAAGCTAACATATCAAGCTAACGTTATGTTAAACATTTTATTTACCTACCGGAGCAGATTAAGATGAGGATGTCTCACTTAGATCGTTGTCGCTGGTTTCATCATCACCCAGTTACCCATCACATTTAGTGAAGTGGACCCAAGCTTTAGCGTGCGTTCTTTCTACCATGCTGCTCTGTTTACAACTGGCTCGCAGGGACCGACGACATAACGCTCTTGCGCATGCGCAGCTGTCTAGGAAAGTTCTCGTTATGAAGGACGGGTACCGAAACGAGGCACCATTTCAAATGACGTGAATCGGTGCTCAGTCGGTACTGTGGAATTCGGTCGGTACCTTGAAAAGTACCGAATTCGGTACCCAACGCTAGTCCTAGTGCTCAAAAAGTGTCTATTTAATATAGTGTAATATTGTTTTTGGACGGTAAAAAGTGAAGGGGATATAAATGAACTTTGGAAAAGTGGGGGGGGGGGGCATGTACCCCCTGTTCTCCCCCAAAACTACGTCCATGCTCCTAGGTACAGCAGTCTTTTCAGAGGGACCCAATGACTGAAGGTCAGTGCCATGAAGCTGTTAATCACTGTTTGGAAAGACAATGACTTCAGTTTTATTTTTGTTTAAGTTCAGGACATTTGATGCCAACCACACACATGCTTCCCTTACGCAATCTGTAAATGACTGAATCATGCCCCCAGACCCCTGCTGGACAGGCAAATAGATCTGACAAACGCGACATAAGGGTGAAACCTGATACCATTCATTCTGAGCATCATTACCAAGACAGACAGAAAACAACAGGGGGCCTAGCACAGACCCCTGAGGAACTCCTCTCTTGAATTGCCCTCATTGAACTGTTGCGTACTCACCACTCACGAGACTTTACCGCCACTTACTGGTTTAATATTGTCTGTTAGAGGGAAACAAAGCTCCGTATGGGTCCTGTAGTATCGGGGAACTTTGGCAAGTACGAGTACAAGCACGTATTATCTGACAGATGCCGGATTGTGGTATCGGCATCGGTGCATCCCAAGGTCAGAGCAAAGAACTGGTTAGTCATTTTTACTGATTCCAGGTCAGCTGTCTTTCAGACCAAATGGCTCAACAAGAAAATTTGTCCACATTTTTGCAGTTTTCTTTGTTGCAAAAAGTGTCACAAGCACTGACTCCATTTTAAAACCAACATATTTTCTCTCGTTTTATTTTTTTTCTCCAGCTTGTCAGCAACAGTTGCAGCCCAGTGAGAAACTGGCTTGAGGGAATGATCCTGGCACGGAGCGACAAAGAGTCCAGAACCATCCTGTCAGCAGTGCTGCTGTGAGCATGTTAGCGTGCTGATGTTCCCCTTCAGCTCAGCGCTCTGCTGTGTCTAATCACAGTCTGATGTACAGACAGGGAAGTGAAAGTGGAGATTACAGTCATTTCTATCCGTTGCACTTTGGTGGAACATTTGAGCGAATCTGTCAAGTGCACAGGAGCACGCTGCAGACTGGATCCCTGCTGACGACGAGAAGCAGCTGAACGCAGGACAAAACCACCGAGTAGATCAGCGTTATAAGTACATCTGCTGCCTGAAAACAGCTCTGCGGAGCTGCTTTGTGAGCTTATGCTAACAGTGTACATAAAAATGAAAGCATCTGCAACTTCAGATGACTATAAAGTACTTCTGTCAGAACCAGACCGTTCGTGGTTGAAACTGTAATGTTAATAAATGATATAAATGGTTAGTATTGGGGGAGATTTTTGTTGGATAAATTTAACAAATGATGCATCATATTCTAAATATAGCTCTTCGGCTTTGGACTCCACACCACTTGCTTCCTGGCCTGGCCCTCTCTTCTAGCGGGTGTTCCTGACATTATCGAGGCATTTCAGTTGTATATACAAACATCCTGTGAGCTAATCCCGACGCTCGAATCCCCTGGACCAGATGTTGCAGCTTACGCAGACAGTCCTGGGAAGAAATAAGGACTATCCTACCCTCCGTGATGAAGGGATTGAACTGGGGTGCACTCCCCGCCGCGTCAGGGAGGTCGTTCATGCTCAACTGTGATTCACTGGGATTAAATCACAGCCTGAGCTTTCCTGTCATAACTTCTTATTTCTGTTGAGAGTGATCGAAGTGCAGCTCTGAACTAGGAATAAAACCAAAGCCAAAGGGGAGGGGAAGGCAGACGTTAATGTAAAGTGAAGATAAACACAGAAGGAGTGATCTCATTTTATTTAAAAGCAAACCTCATCTACTGAGGACAAACTGCTGATAAATGAATAAAGCAGACTTCCATCCGTCCAAAAACAAATCTCAGCTTAAGAAAACAACTGCTGCTACTTATGAACGCTTCCTTTAAGGCTGCATTTAGTTGACTATTGCCTGTTGCTGAGAGAGATAAGTATGGGTGATAATGTGTGTGTCTGTAGTGTTAGCAGTATGAAACTCTTTAGCTGTTACAATTAGATAAACAGACACTTAACCTTTGGAGAGACTGTAAATCAAGATGGCAGCTACACACGTAAAACTTTAGCAAACACAATAATGGCTACAGTCAAGTCTTCAGATGTTGATCTAAAGTTTCATGAGTTGGTAGCTGAGAGACATCAGAACACATACGCTGAGAAATCAGCGCCGTATTTTAACAGCTATGACAACTCCATCGTTTCCTACCACAGGGTGACCTTAGCCTAAAGAGCAAGTTCTCTTGACTTTTCAATACATTTGCGGTGGTCGCTAATATAAACAAATGCCTTGTGAGTCAATCTCTGTGAATAAAGCTCTCTCCCTGTTGCAGGAACCATGAAGTGAGCCAGCGCGGAGGGAAGCTGGCGACTGCAGGCTTGGGAGTCTTATTATTTGGACACCTCACCTCTGATTGGCTAACACCAACACAACTCTACCTCTGACTCAGTTTATTTTGCAATGTTTTATCTCCACAAATAACACAAGGCTGGAGGAGTCCTGCCGTGTGGTGGAGTTGCTAATGCTAATGGTTAGCTTGTACTTGCCGAAAAGCACAACAACAGCCTTCTTCGTTGCGAGCCAAGATGGGTGAGTCCATGGATGCTAATTTTTAGTGTGACGTAGATCTTAGTGGCTTTTCTCATCCAAGTGTTTCCCCGTCTGTTTTCTATCGACGGTTGACGCAGGGCGTAGGGATTGACCTCTTTCATACGCATCAAACTCACCGTGAATCCAAAGCTGAACAGGTTTTAACTGCTCGTGTATCTCTGATGAATGAGCAGTAACAGATCAGCGATGCACGGCCCTCATAAACAGAATTTCTTGGTTTTCATCTTTCTCCAAAAGCTCAGGAATCTCTGAAGTGATGCTTTAAGGCTGACCTTTTCAAAAACAAGCCCGGACGAGCGCATTGTCTGGTCCATCTGTTTAATCAACTTCTGTCCAGAAAAGATCAGTAAGTTCAGAAAAAAGTGCACTGAAGGAGTGTCACATGACCTCTGGGTGTTGATTATATATATAAAGAAACATCAGAAATAAGAATCAGAGCATCATAAAACGGGAATGTCTTCTAAATGGTGCCACTCCATTTTTAAAGTGCATCAACTAAAAAATTATACCCAATTTTTTTTTTTTTTTTTTTGCTGTGATTCAAATTAATGAAGGTTTACTGATTCAGCAGCAGAGCACACTGTTGTGTTGCAGCCTGCAGAGAAATCATGACAGCATCGCAGCTACAACACAGTCATTAAAAGCATGGTGCTCAGGCAGCAGGGTAGGAGCGCTGCCATGCTGCCAGGGTGAGACGCTATAATGATACGAAACAATGAAGAGCGTGATTTCATTTGAGCCTGTGAGATGACATCGCTAAAGGTGAGCTGGAAACAGTGGAGGAGGTTGAGGAAGTGGAGACATATGTGGTGGTAGGATGGATGAGTGGAGAGAAGGGAAGTCAGTTGAGAGGGTGAGAAGCGGCTGAGAAGAATAACTACTTACCCTGACTCTGAGCTTTACTGGGGAAACAGGAAACAAGAGCCAGCATCACCAGTAGAGCCCACCAGCACCACCTGACCCCTCCTGTCGACAACATCCTCACATCCAGCTGTTTACACCTGCACAGGGAGGAGACTGATCAGAAAATCCACTTTACCTACTCCAAACTGCTCATCTGGAATCCCACCACCCCTATTTCATTAACGGTTACAGAGCAGCAGTCTGCAGCCTGGACTGACGCGGAGCGGTGGCCGAGGCTGCTGCCGACACAGAGCAGCATGAGGCTGAAACAGAGTTAAAGAGAAGATGGAGTAAAAGGGTCGGAGTGTCTGGGTGACAGAGGGCGCGCTTGATGGGTGTCACTGTCTGACAAGAGCACACACACACAACAGCACCTCTCATCTCCTCCCTTATCTCATCTCTCTTTGCTCCTTTTGTTCTCCGCATCCTCTCCAGTCTGTCACTCAGTATTACAGGAGGGATGGAGCGGCCCGTCGTATGTCTCTCAGGAACACACCTGGCTGGCAGCGGCATGAATAAAAGAGCACAAGCAGCAAAACGCTGCATCGTTAACCCTGGTGTCACTAAAGAGGAAAGGACACTGGCTGCTTCCACTCACAATGTGTCGGGAGATCATGCTAAATACTCCAGTAACGGCTTCGGTTTTAATAACAAAACATTTATTTTATCATAAAAGCACAAACATGAAAGCTGATTTCCTCAGTTTCAGACATGTTTGAATCAAAAACTATTTTAAGATCTTTTGATGTTGCTCCTGACGTCCAGCCGCTTTTTCTCTGGAGGAAGTGAAAACCAACTATTTGTTTTCCTTTTTAATGGTCCATAACCAGCAGCATCAGGCTCAACTCTTCCCTGCTGACTCTGATATTATTACACTGGTCCAGGTCTACTTTGACCAAATTAAAACCAGTTAAAGCTGAATTAAAATTAAACATTTGCTATAAATAGTAAAAATTCATTTAGAAAAACTGTATTTTTTGTGAAATTAAATTAATTTATTTCAGATATAAGTTTGAAGTTGTTGCCTGCAGCTTATTGATGTCTTCACACGCGCCTGATCTGATTCACGTTTCCACGTGAGGTTTGGTAACAGGTAAGATCACCTGTGAGCGAGTCGTGGCAGATAAAGGTTTGCCATACCTCTGTACTCATGAATCCAACGCGTCCTTTTATCCCAAAAGAGACGCCTCTGAACATCGGCTGCTGCTGCCTCCCGACGCGCTCCTTTTCCTCCTCTTCTCGCTCCTCCTGTCTTCGGATACTAAGTGAGTGGAGGCGTGTGAGGGTGTTTCTCTCCGTGTAACTCAGCCATCCCTCCCTTCGGCTATTCCTCCTCATCCCAACCCTCTCCTCGGTCTCCGATGGGGAGAGAGAGCCGGAGCGGTGGCGCAGCGCAGCACCAGGCTCCTGATTGCAGATCAGCTGCAGCCCCCCGGGGCCTCACGTGCGCAAAAGGACCTGTCAGATGGAACGTATCTGTGATCTAAAGGAAAACTCGCGCGCATGTGTGTGTGCGTGTGTGTGTGCGTGTGTGCGCCTGATCGCTCCACGCTTTGATCTTAAAGGCACGAATGCAAAATAAAAATACAGAAAAAGTCTCAATAAAACAGGAAATGTTTAAAATATGAAGTTTCACTGTTTAAAAACCTTTAAAAACTGTTTTTTTAAACAATAACTAAAATATTTAAGTTTAAAGAAGTTTTCTTTTACAAATGCAGTTTTTTTTATTAGTTTGTTAAATAAAGAAACATCTGGAGCTCTAAACCGATAATTATTAAGAACAGTTAGCAACAAACAGTGATGACAGAATAAATCTCACCTTGATCCAGAACAACTCACTGCTGACATGAAGCAATCAAGTCCTTCCATTTGGAAGGTGACAAAGTCAGTTTAATCTTACATGTCAGGCATATGATCTCCCTCATCAGGGCCATTAAGCTTAAGTGTTGATAGATAATAATACATCTGTGAGGTCTGGTGACGCGGCTGGGGGTGCATGGTGGAAGAGGCCTCAGACAGCTTTGGTAAAGACAAACGGTCATTTCTCATGACAACCTAAACCTGGAGAGGACAAGTGGAAAAGGAGTCAAATCCAAGTGTGGAAGTCAGTGTTTCATTTAGGTCATCGAAAAGGAAACACAATAATAAATGAAAGACACAAAAGGAAAATATAAAGTGTGCTTGTTGCATCTGAGTCCAGATTAGATGCAGCATAAATGCATAAAGTGCCATGACATGTAAAACATCTCACTAGACGTTCATCCATCAGGAGCTGCAGAAGTGGAATGCAGCCCTTGTTAACACACATGTTTTATCTTTGCACAAGGTGCAGGTGTGTGTTGGTAGAGGATGGTGAGCGTTGAGAGGAGAAGCACCCAGGTTTGAGTTTCAAGAAGCAAAACTACAAAAATACAAAAGTGTGTGTGTGTGTGTGTGTGTGTGTGTGTGTGTGTGTGTGTGTGTGTGTGTGTGTGTGTGTGTGTGTGTGTGTGTGTGTGTGTGTGTGTGTGTGTGTGTGTGTGTCTGTGTGACTCATTCATTTTCTATATAGGATCTTTGTCCCGTTCAGAGCTCAGAGGCTGGGAAGAGACCAGAGGACACCCACGCATGGACCAGGACAACGTGGACACTGTAGCGCTCCAGCTGACATTCAGACCTGAGACTTTTATGCTGATACCGATGTGCAGCCGTGAGGCTGTTCTGTCAAAACATGTAGACTTGTGTGTCTGAGTGTTGCAGGTCTCGGGATCAGCATCTTGTGGTTGGAGCTTCATGTTTGTTGCACAGCTGTATAAAACTCTCCTTTTTAAGCTTTCCACATGGAAAAAAGCTCAAACTGCTGAAGCGTTTCTAAACTGAGCATTCCCACCATTATTGTGAGGACAAAGAAGTGTGACTCTGATTAGACTCAGCTTCTCTGCTGCTGGAGATGCCCTGAGGGGAACGGGAGTCATGGGAAGCAGGGGCTGGTGAAACGTACCAGTTAAACCGCCAAACAACTTCACTCCAGGTGTGTCGGTGCAACACACACACACACACACACACACACACACACACACACACACACACACACACACACACACACACACACACACACACACACACACACACACACCTTAACCAAACAACTGTCCAGATGCCATGTAAGCCCTATAATCCTCCCTCTTTCCTCCTTCCTCTTCCTCCTGCCACCCTCCTCCTCTTCATCTGTTGACCATTTGGAGCAGACCAGACCACACACCAGACAGGTTCAGCACAGCAGTCATTACAAACTGCTGAATGTCAGAACTATTTTTCTAGGCTGCAGACGTTTTCTCCTGCTGCAGCTTCATGAGTAGGTTTGCTTTCCTTTTCCATGTTCTGGTTTGTTTGGTTTTAGATGTTCCAGCTGCTCACTTTGTAGACATAATGTTACCAATCTCAAAAAATCTGACTCTTCACGAGTTTAAGTTCAGGAATTTAAACGTAACAAAGTCTAATAATTCCTGCTTGGGGATTAGATCGCCCCACTCTCTGGGCCTGAGTTGTTCTGGTTTCAACACGACATCAAGGAGCTGCTGTAGTTGTTGTTGCTGCCAAGCGCCTTCACACTGAAATCCCAAAATATCTCAAAGACTTGTAGAAAATCAGAATGCAACCTCAGAACATTTTTGATTAAAACATGCAGAGAAACCTGTTTTTGAGAGCTAATCCCAGTAAATGCTTTATTATAAAATAGCTGAATAGTTATTCTGAAATCTGCCAGAGCTGATGAGTGACGCAGAAAAGGAATTTCCACAGAAGTTTGAAAAACAGAGCGTATGAATGTGAACTAAATATAACAGCTATTTATTTTTGTTTGGCAGAAACAACTGACGGCGTTTCTGGATTTAAGCTGCTGCTGTGATTCATTGTGTTAGAAAGGTTCTGCTTTGAGGGGATTTGGACACCTCTCAGGCTCAGCAGCTCACAGATGTTGAAGCGCTCATGAGCGATGCATCATATCAAAGATGCTGTAAGGTCAAATGGCTGAAATTTAATACTGAATTGTTCCGTTCTCACTGGTGCTCGTTGTTACCGACTGTCCCAGCTGTGGCTCTGATGGAGGCTGAATCCATCCGACTTGTGAAGCTGATTTCAGCTCCGTGAGGTCCAGCTGTGAAGCTTCATCCAGTTTTTTTTAAGTCATGTTAAAACAGCTGGTTCTCCTCCCATCTTCAAGATAAAGAAAGTCTCTCAGACAAGAAATGTTTACCACTAAAACAAACAAAGGTCTGTTGGCTCAAGAACGCTGGAGACAATCGAGTTTAAATAGGAAACTTGGTTTGATTCTCCAACAACAACATGGATGTTTTACTAGATCTGAAATCTATGTGGCCGCTGGAGACAGACAAACGTTTCTCTGAGCTGCAGAGGATTACAAACAAGATTTGTTTCTTGCCTATAAACAGGTGTTATACAATATATTGAACCGAATATTTGAACTGATGAAACTGTGAGTTTAGGCTGAAATGAAATAAGTGCACACACACACACACACACACACACACACACACACACACACACACACACACACACACACACACACACACACACACACACACACACACCTGTTAAGCTGTGTGTGGATAACGAGCAGCTAACATGAGGGCAGCAGCAGATCCAGATGCTGGCAGCCCACTGATTAATCCCACTAGTCTCACTTATTAGCCGACTCGTGGTCTGGTTCCTGCTCTGCTGCTTCATCAACACCTCTAGGGTCAGCATGCTTAATGCAAATTAATACAATAATAATATAAAAGGGATTAAAGGGACAGTGTGTATTTTCCTGGCGAGAGGGGGCAGTAGATGCCTAAATCGTTGCAAGCAAACAGTATTTCTGTGTTGGAGTACGACCTTACCAACAGATGCCCATTAGGGTCAAAAAGCCCTGGGGAGTGCAAACTTCAGCAAAATAACAAGCACACAGAAGCCCTTTCATCACTGGCAACAAGTGAAGAGATAAATGTTTAAAACAACAATTAGGAATCACGAAGGTTTTGTAACCATTTGTTGTGACATGGTGTGAGGAATGCGTTTAACCCAAGACATGCAGAATCGCACACTCACAGATCTTATGGTAATAAAAAAAGAATCTTTATTTTAAAACGGGAACTGAAGGTGCACTGGAAAAGCCCAGTGGAGATCGAGAACGGGAGCGCAGCGTCTGAGGAGGGGAGAGCAGATACAGGTGAGTCCAGGAAGGTAAGTCTAAACTTGGTGGGTGCAGAGAATAGACTTACTGGGAGTAAGGGAGCGTAGAAATGAGGGACGGTAGGTTGGGTGCCGGGGTGAATCCAAGTGGGGTGTCCAGGAGAGGGAGCAAGAGGAGAGCAGGAGAGCGGGCCGGCCGGGAGGAATGGAGAACGGTGAGAGCTGCATCCAGGAATCCTCTGGGGGAACAGGTGAGTAATCCTGAGGAGTCGCAGAAATCCATAAACGTTCCAAAACCTGGTAACGGGTAAGCACAGGGAAAAGATCCAAAGGTTCACAAAAAACCCCAGAAACACTAGAGCATAAAATCCAAGGAAACTACCAAGCTGTAGTAATTCCAAACACACCCACATCACCCTGCTTCTCCTCCAGCTTCAATGGCTGCCAGTCATCTTCAGGGTTCATTTCAAGATCCTGGTTCTGGTCTATAGGGCCTTACATGGACAAGCACCATCTTACATTGGTGATCTTCTTAGTCCCTACACCCCCAGCAGGTCCCTGAGGTCCAGTGATCAAAGCCTACTGGTTGTGCAGCACCAGGCTAAAGGTCAAAGGTGACAGATCATCTGCTGCTGTGGCCCCCAGACTCTGGACCTCTCTCCCCCTGAGCCTGAGATCAGTGGACTCAGTGGTCTCCTTTAAAAAGCAGCTGAAGACTCACTTGTTCAAGCTGGCTTTTGTATGACCTTCTTCACCACTCTCTCTTTATTCTGCTCTCCCCACCTATTCCACGTTCCTCAGGATCTACTGATTTCCCTCTTTCCTGTTCACTCTCTCTCTCTTTCCTAACATTTTTTAATCACAATTGCCTATTTTTGCTCATTTTAAATATATTTTTTACCATTTTCTAAATGCTTTTTTATATTTTTACATGTTTTGCTTTTGTGAAGCGCCTCGTGATTTTTATCTTGAGAGGCGCTATATAAATGATATTTTCTTCTTCTTCTTCTTCTTCTACTTCTTCTTCTTCCTCTTCTCTTCTTCTTCTTCTTCTTCTTCTTCTTCTTCTTCTTCTTCTTCTTCTTCTTCTTCTTCTTCTTCTTCTTCTTCTTCTTCTTCTTCTTCTTCTTCTTCTTCTCCGAACCGTTCTTTGAACGTTGTTTCAGCTGTCATCAAGGATATAAATGTTACAGATACAAAGGATGTCACTGGCGCTTTGGTTCGCCTAGTAAAACAACGGACTCTTGTGCAGAAGACCT